GCCGACTGGACAACACATTAGAGAAATTGTTTGAGTGTATGCATGATGTGTATGTGTTTGCATGCATGAACTCATGTTTCTTGTGTGTGTGAGCACACATGCCACAGCACAGTGGGGATCAGAGCACAACCTCAGGAGGGTTTCCTTCCTCTGTGGTGACAGATTCCCTTTTGTAATCTGCTGTGTGGGCTGCGGAGCTGTGAGTGTGTGTGAGTGTGAGTGTGAGTGTGAGCATGAGTGTGAGCATGAGTGAGCGTGAGCATGAGTGTAAGTGAGCGTGAGCGTGACTGAATGTGAGTGAGCGTGAGTGTGAGCGTGAGCGAGTGTGAGTGTGAGCGTGAGTGAGCATGTGAGTGTGAGTGTGAGCTTGAGTCTGAGTGAGCATGAGTGTGAGCGAGTGAATGTGAGTGTGAGTGTGAGTGTGAGCATGAGTGAATGTGTGAGTGTGACTGTGAGCTTGAGTCTGAGTGAGCGTGAGTGTGAGCGAGTGAATGTGAGTGAGTGAGTGTGAGTGTAAGTGTGAGTGAGCATGAGTGTGAGTTTGAGGGGCTCTCCTGCCTCACCTGCCATCCCACCACAGGGGCACTGGGATTACAGATGCGTGCTACCACGCGAGTCCAGTTCACCTGGGCTCTGAGGATCTGAGCTCAGCTCCTCAGGCTGTGCTGCCAGGGCTTTACCCACTGGGCCATCTCCCTTGGCCAGCCCACCTCCACTCACAGTTCTGCTCACTGAAAGGTCCATGGCAAAAATCTGCCTTTGAGGAATTGCTGTTGATCAGATAGAAACAAAGAAACTAAAATTCCCGTCTAGAGATGATCATTAAGATGTTTGCAGAAAACCAAAGTCAAGAACCTCAGATGCTTTCCCTATGCTAAAGGAGACTTTATATTTGTAGAGACCAGTTCACTCCCTCTAGAGATAACATGTGTATAAGCAAAGCTGTCCACATAAGCATACCAATGTATCTATTTAAGAGTCTTAGTTATACATTGCTTTCTAGAAATTCACAGGTAAGGTTTTATATATATTAATATACATTAAATAAATAAGTACTTAATATATATTAAATGCATTTTCACATATTATATATTAGCATGTATATTCAGTAGGAATATCTCTCCATAAAATATATCCTTGCTCTTTCTCTGAAATCCACACATATTCTTACGTTTTCTTATTCCCAGGTTTTTAATTTTTATTTGACATTATTTTTATCATACAAAGAGAAAATACACTCATGTACATATATAATCACAAAATGGTTTAGTTTTTAAAGGTGATTGAGTATTGTCTGCAAACCTGGGAAGGGTAGCCATGAGAATCTTAAAACTCTGGCTCACACTTAGACTCAGTGAAGTTACTGAATCAGATATGGGCTTATTAAAGAATCCTATGGGCAGGGCTTTCTGAGGGCTCTTTCTGAGCCTGTGTTTTTTTAACTTGTGTGATCTTTAAAGTGAAGTCAGAAGTTTTAAGAGACCTTGAGTGACCCTACAGTGTTCTCTGAATTCAGCAGGCTCACAATCACCTCAGAAAAGCAGGGTTGGGTGGACAAGTCAGGGACACAGACTAAGACAGAATTTATATTTTCTTGTGTATTTTATATAAGGATATTTCATAAATGCATCAAAGAAAATGTAGCCATATTAGACAGCTTCAGAGGAGGTGTGATGAAGTTTAAAATATTCTCCCACTAAAAATGCAACTTGTAAATAATGTAGAACTGGGGCTGGGGAGATGACTCAGTTGTCAAGAGCACTAACAGCTCTTCCAGAGGACCCAGTTCAGTTCCCAGCACCCACATGGTGGCAAACAATCGTCTATAACTCTAGTTCCAGGTAACCCCATGCCCTCTTCTGGCCTCCACTGGTGTTGCACACATGAACACACTTAGATACATGTAGGTAGAACACTCCCACACATAAAATTGTAAATAAATAAATAACTTAAAAGTGTCAGACTGTAACAAAGACCCTGGGAGTGGCCACCTCCTGTCTGTGAGGATTCAACTATAGGAACTTGTTAATTCCAGCATCTAACATGACCTAAAACAACCAGCAGCTCAAGAGCACTGAGGGTTTAGAGTAATAACGGCCACATTCTCACCATGAGCTGAAGCACAATGACAGCCCATTAACAGGGGGCAAGCCAGCCACAAAAGAGAAGTAGGAGCCAAGACATGTGCACCTCATCACACTATGTTTGGTCTGCCCATCCAGCCTAAGGGACAACAGGAGCCGAGAAGAAGCCGTCTCAGAGTCACCTCCCATCAGGGTGGAAACAGACTCACAGAACAAATGCTAGAAGCATCTGTGAATGTGCGGAGTAAGGAGGATCACACAGAGACTCACAACCGCTCGAAGCGCAGGGAGGAAGCATCTGGGTGTGCTCACCTTAGTGGAGCCTCTGCTGTGCATCACACCCCTTCCCATAAAGCTCAGGGAACTTCCCGGAAGAGCCCAAGGAAGGGGAGGAGATGGTGCATTGGGGACATGAGGGGCCACTGCAGTCACGAGCTCACAGCAACGTGGCTCCTGACCTGAGAGAAGCCCCGGCCAGTCGGCACTCCGGGGATGGGGAGGGGAGCGCAGGCTCCACCCCAGCTGAGGAGCCACTCAGACAGGGACAGGGGCAGTTCTTCAGGAATGGGGCCCCTGGCCCGCTGACCATGCTCCTGTGGGTGGCCTTATACCCATACACATACAAGCAGCACAAGCTGACAAACTGGACTCGATGGGTTGTTTTTAAAACAGAAAAAAGGCTTTGAAATTAGGAAGGGAATTGACTAGGAGGGAGTCCAGCAGGAGTACGACAGGAGAGGAGTAGATGATTGAAATACACTGTATACATGAAATTCTCAAAGAATCAAAAAATATTAAAAAATCCAAGAATGTATGTTCATAGGTATCTAGCTTTATGGCCAAATTATTTAGGCTTCCAATTTAGGCAGTGATAGAAAATGTCCTTAAAATATGCTTTCATTAATTTTCACATAAAATGTGTTTTATAATTTTAAATCTGTATGTGAACAGCACAAAAACGTGAGAGAATGAAAGTTAAATTTCATCCAGACTGTTCCAAGTGAGTCCTAGCAGCCCGATGCTGGCTGGGTCAGTGGCAACTGAGCCAGTGTGTGGGCAACCTTTGATGCTTCAAGGTCTCACAGGTCTGCCTGAGAGCAGGCAGAGGTTTTCAGGGACAGAAAGGTAACATGCTATCACAAAGGAACCCGATGAGCTTCAATTCTTCTACATACAATAATGAATAAAACTCAGTAAAAGGAAAACATTTCCTGAAAACACAGATGGGGCATGGAAAACACACTCACATGATGAATGTTGTAAAGTCTTGTTATTTATACATGTGGATATCAAACTCTTTGACAACTGAACAGCCATGAAGACCTGGCACAGGTAAGTATATACAATGTTGTTCTTGTATGAAGATCCTAGGTTACATTTGAGGGATGGTGTCTGATTTATTAACCATGGGTTTATTAACATTTCTATCAGAAAAAGGAATAGTTGTTTAATAAAGCCTTCTGCTTTGATTACAGGCTCTGGAGTCTAATATCCTAATGGAGGCTGGTTCTCAACTGGGGGCGATTAGTTGTTAAAATGTTAATACATTCACAGAGATTCTAAATTATTATTATTTAATGCGGTAATGTGAAAGCAGGCAGTTGAGCTTTAAAAAAATGCATGTTATCCTTGCAATACAGAGCAAAAAAATTATTAAAAAAACTTGGGTACCTGCCTCTCCTGGTGAGGCTATGGCCCAGGGTGATTCTCAAACCTCTTACAATTGTTCATTTTCATGTCACATGGTCGTCACTCCCAAACAGAAGAGTAATTAATAATTGGATTTGTTTTTAAGTCAGTAATTAACTTAAAATTAAGTAAAAATCTAAAGTGTTTGGCATGATTTAAGGTAGAATCATGATTAAATGTTTCTTTAAAACCATGCTGCAGATCCTTAAATCAAAGACCAGTTACACAAATAAATTATAGTTACAGATTGAAATTAAGAAAATTTCATACTGACAGATTTTCTACTGGGTCATCTCATACTTGAGCATTTTAAGACTGTTCATTGGTTTTACCAGATACATATATTCAAACCATTCCGTTTAAGAATACAATGAACTAAATATTTTTAATGTGTTCAAATGAGAACAGAGTTACTTTGAATCATAACCTCCTCACCTCAGGAAAAGCCTAAGACAAAAGAAGGAAACTGGATGTTCATAAGCTGATGGTTCTAAGTGGGCGCTAGTGGCAAATTTTTCATTTTAATTTTTAAGACGAATTTTTTCTTAGCAAATATCACAAAATTGCTTTGAGAGACTAAATTCTCTGGATACCTGAAAAACACGTCGGGAGAAAACGGCCTGTGCTGTCACTGCTGGGATCTAACGTGTCGATGATTTACATGAGGTGCTTGTGAATAGACAGGGTCAGCCAGCAAGTGCTCTCTGATAACTCAGAACACTAAATGGGAAATGTCAGTCACTATTAAAGCAGACTGCTGTACTGAGGTGGGTTTGGTTTGGGGGATCAAACCCGGACCTAACACATGTGAGACAGGCTTTCTATCACCCGAGCTGTGTCTTCAGTTCCTACACTGTATTGGTTCCTAATCCAGACTTCTTGGAAAACCATGCTGAAATAATGCGAAAGGTGCCCAGGACCAACAGCGCCCAGGACCAACAGCGTGGTAGCTTCCACACTATGCACACTTTCTATTCCATTCTCCCGAAACCAAAGGGAACACGCCACTTTGCCCGTTGGGGTTGACATCTGTTACTCTTTGGGTGTGTGTATTTGTGCACAGCCTTCGGTAGCATGTTATACCCAGGCTCATGCATGTTCAGACCTCACTGCTTCATCCCGTCTACAGCACCACAGTCACCTGCCATCCTTCCCTTGACATGTTCTCTGACTCAGGCTCAGAATATCATCCTGTAGAACAGATGTTAAGGAGAAAGTGAACTTTACCCTGATGAAGAGGATCTTCTCTCCCACTCTGTATCTGCCTTGAGAGAGCCGCTCCACACAGAACTTTGTGGGGCATTTGCAGGGAGGATCTTCAGAGATTCTTTTCACCTGGAACAGAATAGTGAGTTGCACTGATTAATTTTTTCATGAGTTCAAAGATGCCTGAGCTCTTGATTATTTGAACTTGTTCTTTAGGTACGGACATGCTGTGTGCTCACCATCCCCCAATGAATTACAACTGTGTGAAGGTCAAGGTCTGGAAGTATCTTTCTTTTGTTTCCTCTTTTTATCAAACATTTGAAGTTTTCCTACAATATAATTTGATGGTATTGAGATCCCCTCCCCAACTGCATATCCCCTTACTGCCCATACCCAATTTAATGTACTCTATTATGAGAGAGAGAGAGAGAGAGAGAGAGAGAGAGAGAGAGAGAGAGAGAGAGAGAGATATGTGACTCAGTGTCCCACAATCTCTCTCTGTGTGTGCGCCTCCACTGGCGCCTGTGTCAA